AGGAGAATCGCTTGAACCCGGGAGGCGGAGGTTGCAGTGAGCCAAGAGATCTTGCCACTACTGCACTCCACCCTGGGCAACAGAACAACACTCTGTCTAAAAAAAAAAAAAAAAAGGATACAAGATATGAATTGACAAGTCACAAAAGAGAGATAAACATGACCAATAAACACAAGAAAAAATTGTCCATTAGTCTCATAAAAATATAAACTAAAGTTTTAATTAAAAACTTAGTAACACCAGACTATAACGAGTATCATAAAGAGTACTGGAGACCGCACTGTGACTATGCACCCTGCAAAATGTAAAGTGGTACAGCCTTTCTAGAGGTTGTATCAGAAATTTCTATCTGTATCAGAATTGAAATTTTAAGTACTAATTGACACAGATATTCAATTTCTAGAAATTCATCCTATGGAAATAAGGAGTGTTATTCTTGATTTTCTAATATTGCTTTACTTCCTTTCATCTGACATATTTATTTACTGTTTTTCCTCCCTGCACTAGCAAATAAGCTTATTGAGAGCAAGGACCTAGACAGTACAGTACTTGGTATATATCAACCATGTAATAAATGTTGGTTAAGAGAATGTGTACATTTTTATCTATACAAATTTTCAAAACTATATGGGTTTTGTCAGCAAAAACTTTGGAAAACCTCCAATATCTAACACCACTGGGATTAGATAAAACATTGATCAGCATGGACAACTACAGATCCATTAGAAACTAGTCTACAAGAAACTCCACAAAAACAGTAAGTGTACTAGATCTTATTACATGACCTCATTCTCATTAAAAAGAAAAAAAACAGAGGAAAGCTATGTGCAGAGATAAAAGACAGCTAACACAGTATACATTAAGATGTTAACTGTGGATATCTATAAGATGATGGGATTATGGGTGACTTTTTTTCCTTACTTATGGTTTCTCGTATTTTTCAAATTTTATTTTTCCACAATGAACTAAATTTATTTTTAATATGACAAAGAAAATCATTCAAAATAAACTAAAACAACTAAAACCAAAACCAAACCTCTCCCTAGTTTTAGTTTAGAGGAGGAAAAGTTTACCTTCTGCTTCATCATCATCAATCAGTTCGTCATCAGAGCATATGTTGAGCACATTTACCAGCATCTCTGTGACTACGTAAAACAAAATAATCCAAAATTTATGCAATTAATGAGGTATTTTCTCTAAAATAATGTGTATATCTAAATAAACACACGTTAAGTAAGCATGAACAAAAATTATTTATCATTATGTTAGTTACAATAGCTATAAAAAGTAGCATAAACGTAAACTTTCAGATTTAAAAAGAATTTGGGTAGATTACTTGCTCCAGTACAAGTTTGGAGTCTTTGAAGATCTATTGCATAACTACTTGATTTTACTGAGCTGCTGTTCAGAGCTTCTTCCCATACTGATACACACGTGATAAAATTTTTTCCCATTTTACAAAGTTAAGCCAACAGGCCTACATCCAACAGGCTTAGCTTATGTGAGTAGTTGTACAAATAAAACTGTAAGGACAATAAATTCTGTTTAAATCTCTTCAGTAGTGAAGAAATCTGAGGCAATGACAAGTAACTATGTTGTTTTATCATCTTGATCATAGTAGGTCAGCTACTTTAAATTGATATTTACAGTAAGAAAACCATAATGTATGAAAATTTAAGAACCAATTACATGCCATTTACAAATCTATGTAGAGGCTGGGCACAGTGGCTCACACCTGTAATCCCAGCACTTTGGGAGGCTGAGGAGAGCGGATCACTTGAGGTCAGGAGTTTGAGACCAGCCTGGCCAATATGGTGAAACCCTGTATCTACTAAAATACAAAAATTAGCCGGGCGCAGGGGCACATGCCTATAATCCCAGCTCCTCGGGAGGCTGAGGCAGGAGAATCGCTTGAACCCAGGAGGTGGAGGTTGTAGTTAGCCAAGATTGTGCCACTGCACTCCAGCCTGGGTGACAGAGCGAGACTCCGTCTCAAAAAAAAAAAAAAAAAAAATCTAAGTAGAGAACAAACAAAATTAGAAAACATTTCTGAACCTTGCGGGGGCTCATGCAAATATAAGGTGTGCTCAGTCACCAAACAACTGACGAGACACATGCTTTAGTTCTCTTACCTTTTTCCCCAACAAAAGGCAAAGACCATGTGAAAACATCCATAAAGTTTGGAAGCCAGTAGGGGTGTGGAGAACAATTAAACTGCCTGATATTCATGACATTGTTTTCATATTTCAACACAGCAGCTAAAAAGGAAAAAAGCAAGAAAATCTGGCACAGAGGAACATGGCATGGCAACTGATATGCTTTGTACAGCTGTGTACCTGCTACACAGAATTCGAGAACTTTCCATTTGTAAAGTCAGGACTTGACTAGGTAAAGCGCAGATGGAAAATTTTAAAGCCTTTTATTTAGTTCATTCTCTTAAGAGTTATTCCAAGGAACAAAGTCACCTGAAGAGCTCATATAATAAAAGTACAAAAGAAACTGAAACTTTGGAGTCACTGCACAGTAACTATCTATATAACCCTCAAGATCCACGAGGAAAATTTCCCCACAATTTCCTTTTATAGGCCAAATGGTTATAATTACAACTCTCCTTTGAAGGCAAATATCACTCATTAAACGGCCACAGCCTGTTTTGCTAGTCATTAGCCTGAGTTAAATATTGTATACACTCTTTGGGAGTTTATACAGTGCAGTTACCAACTCATACTGGAAGATACAAAAGGCAGACTTGGAGCAATTTACAATTAAATGTTCAAAATTAGATTAAATCATCTCTGTATTCAATACAGTGGATTTTAAAATTGCCGATTTCTCCAATACACAGCAGTATATAGCCAGCATGCTATGTTTAATATTAACCGTTCAGATAGTTGCACACATACTTTGATGCCAAACTGATTTTCTTTATATTTTGAAAGTCTTAAAATCCAATTCCTTAGCCTCTATCACCAGCAATGTTGTTTGCACTATTCTCTTAATTATTCCGTGGTCATGAAATAAAATAGGGTGTAACAGTTCTCTAGAAATGACAGATATAGGTCACGTCCTCGTTTCTGTTTCTTTGTTATAGGACAATCTAGTGTTCTTAAAATTTGTTATTGAATGTCTAAAATGCACACCATAGATTATTAAGAAAATAAATTAAAATATAATCTCTAGCTCTTAAAAAGCCTAACACTGGCTATGATGCACACGTTCCATTATTTTCATGTGTATGTATTTATTTAGTTTAGGTAAATACGTCATATATCATTATTCAACAACTCCCTCAATTTCTACACAGGAAAAAGAAGTGGGAGGTGAGTCTCAACAGTGAATGACTGGAAACAAGAGTTTATAAAACCGCTTTTGGGGCCGGGTGCGGTGGCTCACGCCTGTAATCCCAGCACTTTGGGAGGCCGAGGCAGGCGGATCACGAGGTCAGGAGATCGAGACCATCCTGGCTAACACAGTGAAACCCCGTCTCTACTAAAAATAATACAAAAAATTAGCTGGGCAAGGTGGCGGGCGCCTGTAGTCCCAGCTACTCAGGAGGCTGAGGCAGGAGAATGGCGTGAACCCGGGAGGCGGAGCTTGCAGTGAGCAGAGATGGTGCGTCACTGCACTCCAGCCTGGGCGACAGAGCGAGACTCTGTCTCAAAAAAACAAAAACAAAAACAAAACTGCCTTTGGGTGTGTTCCCAGTGGACAGAAGAAAACAAGAAGAATCTTTAAAAATCATGATTAAAGGTCTTTCGTGTAACCAGTGGAACTAAGAAATACCTATAGATACCAAGAAGTCTAAAGAATATGAGTACTCCTAGCACTTTGGGAGGCTGACGCGGGCGGATTGCCTAAGCTCAGGAGATCGAGCCCAGCCTGGGCAATGTGGTGAAACCCCGTCTCTACTAAAATACAAAAAATTAGCCAGGCATGGCGATGTGCACCTGTAGTCCCAGCTACTCGGGAGGCTGAGGTGGGACAATTGCTTGAACCCACCTCAATTGCTTGAACAATTGCATATATATATATATGAAAGAGGGCAGGTGTGGTGGCACACACCTGTAATACCAGCACTTTGGGAAGCAGAGGCAGGAGGATTGCTTAAGTTCAGGAGTTTGAGACCAGCCTGGGCAACATAATGAGACCCTATCACTATAAAAAAAAATATTTAAAAATTAGCCAGGTGTGGTGGCATGCACCTGTGGTCCCAGCTAGTTGAGAGGCTGAAGTGGGAGGATCACTTGAGCCCAGGAAGTCAAGCCCAGCAAGTCAAGAGTATCAACAGATACTCTTTCTGATGAAGTTAAAAAAGAAAGTGAGAAAGGAACACCTTCATTACAAATAGGAGATCTAGGGCCACTAACAGTCCTTGAAGACGTTTAACAACACAAATAGTCCACACCATTGACAAGAGAATAAATAAGAATAAAAACCTAAGTTGCTAATATACTGGAAATATCAGGAAAAAGGAAATAACTTAGGGCATAACAGAGCATTGTAGGACAGAGCATTGTAGGACAGATCAGGCTCAGAGAAACAGAGCATTGTAGGACAGATCAGGCTCAGAGAAGAATGTTAACGTAAATGAAAACATAAGGCTAGGACAGAACTTAAGTCAAAGACATGCTTTTTAAAATAGACAAGTCACTGGAGGACAAACTAAAATGACTGACCCAAATCAGATTTAAATGAGATGTGCCATTCCACAGTTTACTTTTAAACAGAGTAAATATTAATTATATTTTGGCCATCTTTGAAACTTATCTCCCCAACTGCATATACAAGGTATAACTATAAAGTAATGAGACTTAAGAAACCACCAGCTACAAACACACCAGACCTTTGTATCAGATGAGTGTGGTCCTTTGATATCATCACATCAGGTACAATAACAGTAAAATCTGTATTATTATAGTAATTTATATTTTGAACAACACTTTAAGATCCATTTTCCTTATTCCAACTTATCTTCAACAACCCTATATGACAGGTATTTTAAAGATGAGGCTCAGAGAAGTACCTTGTTAAACGTGACACACTTAAAAGTGAAGCAGTACTAGACTGACTCCTTGCTTTGTGTTCTTTTCAGCACAACTTATTGCCTTACCATACAATTAATCCAGAGATGCTGCCATTATTCAAAACGTTTTTGGAACTCCTCTTTTGGAAGTGCCTCCAGAGCCACTGTATCAGCAACACGAGAAAAACCAGTCTCATTACCTTATAATCATACCTTGTTTCTGACCCCAAATGGTATCATCTAGCTTGATCACTCACCTTATTTATCAGTCTTGACTCCGAATGACTTTTGGCTGTCCAAAAATCAAATCCACCCTCAAAGGACGAAGATTTCCCATCATTGAGGATAATCAAAAGAATGTGTCGCAGACTCTGAAGGCAATGCCAAAAGAGGAGTTCCAAAAATGTTTTTGAACAAGGACAGCATTGTTGGAATAGGTGTGTAGCCTCCCAAGGTAACTACTTTGAAGGGACAATACTCATTTGGATATGTTCGTTCTGGCATGTTCATTTTCAAAGTCCTATTAATTTATAGTCATACTTTATAAACAACAAAATAGTTACAGAAATATGAAGGTTTTTTTAGGAGGACCACGGCTTCGATAGAAAACTTATAAACTATTAATCACAAAAGTTTTAAGTTAAAAAAAAAGACTTTAACAGGATAAAGTCTTAGAAATAAAATTTCTGGAACAAAAGGCATGTATATATCCATTCTTCTTTTTTCATATGGGAAACTGAAGATTAGAAAGATAACGTGACTCACCCAAAGTCACAGTATTAGTTTCTGGCAGGGCTTAAACTAAAAATGAAGTTTTTTTTTTTTTCGACTTTGTACACTAGGTCACTCTACCTAGACCATATCTCAAGAAAAACGAAAATAGTTTAACAATTCACAAATATTAAAATACCTATGATGACTCTGAGATACTGTTATAAATACATTAAATTCACCAAAACCAATAATTTATGCTAACTATTCTAACATGAGCCTGAAGCAATTTATTCTTCTTATACTTTGATTCTGTAGTATCAATCCAACCTATTATGATCATTATTTATACTCACAAAGAAGCCAGTAATCCTTAGGAGATAAAGACCAAGCAGCAGCATAAATTCTAAATTTCTTGGCCTTTGTTTCAACTAAGACCCCTTTTTTTCTTATTTCAAGTTTATATTTTAAAATGAAACAAACACACATACATACATACAATTAAACCAGAGCTCACGTTTACTCATAAATTCAAACTCAAATATTGCTGGACTCCTTTACCTTTATTGTTATAGACATCTAGGTAATTGGGGGCAGAGAAAATTGTAATAAGTGATGGAAAGCCTGTTGCTTGGCTCTTCCTGTACATTCGATACCTGAAAAAGAGATGAAAGCCCGTCTGTCTTCATATTAAATGCAAAGACTCTGCAGTGATATTTGATACAATTTTAATGTGACTTACCCAGCATCTTGGGCTTCATGGGCTCTGATAATTGATAATAAATTATTGTTCTGCAAAAATTCACAAACTGCAGGGTAACTGGAAAAGAAAATTAGAAAACACAAATCCAGAATTAAAACAATTTTTTAAATAGGAAGATGGAGAAAAGTCAATGTGATATCAGCTGATTTTGTTTCAAAATTACAAGTATTACACACTACTGAAATGTTATGAATACATTAGTACTCATTATTCTGTTTTTCTGTTTCACTAGTATACCTCACTACAGATCAAACATGAAGACAATAGATAATCCTACAATAGCAAGAGCTCCTCCATCCCATCTTTTAATTTTTGTCTTAATCCCTAATGATAATACAACACCAAAAACTTTTATCAGTGTCTTGATATTAAAAAGTGCAACAGTAGTGTGTGTGTATATGTAGTAGGTGCTAAAAATTCAACACATACTTTCTTCAATTGTCAAACTGTCAAATTGTTAGAAAAATAAAAGAACGTACTTACAGCTTCACAGGTAATATCAACACCAAGATAATTTTATGCAGGAATATATATATATATTTTTTTGAGATGGAGTCTTGCTCTGTTGCCCAGGCTGAAGTGCTGTGGCGCAATCTCGGCTCACTGCAAGCTTATGCAGGAATATTTTAGGAGTAGATGTAAATATTTTAGCCAACCATATTCTAAAAAAAGATACAATATTCTCATATACACCTAAAATATTCTTGTCTTACTATTACCTCTCTGAATGACAAATACCTGATAGGAAGAACTGGAGTATACAAAGTTAACCTGGAATTACTTAGGCATTAATTATTTAGTTTATTTTAAAAATCTTTGTTTCTCCTTATGCTCATTAGAAAAAATTTACTTTTAAAGTAGATTGTAGGTCACGTCAGCAAGATGGCAAAAGAGAATGTCCCCAGCCCTGGTCCTCCTACAGAAACAATAGTTTGGAAGCCATCCATGACCATAAGTGCCACTATGAGAACCTTGGGGTTGAGGTAGGTGGTTATGAAACCTTGGTGGAGCCCAAGACTAGGAACAGCTGCTTTGAGAAGGTAGGCCCACTGACCTTTCAGCTATAGACCCAGAATCAGCCCATCCCTCGTAAACTTGGCTCCAGTCCTACTTGTCTGCAGCCCTACCACCAACCTCATCCATCCTGGGAAGGAACCATGTCTATTGATGCCCCTAGTAACAGATCAACCAACCAGACCCAACTGCAAACTCAAAGCAGCACTCTGACCTGGCTCCAGCTGTGCTCTACTATGGCCAAGAGGAAGTCCTGTCTTAACAGGGACCTTGTGGAAATCATGCCTGTCCATTCCTCTGGTAAAAGGGCTGCTGATTGGACCCAAACATAAACCCAAACCAGCCTGTGGCCTGGCTTGGGTCCCACCCTATTGAGTTCCAGAAACAGCTCTCCCCATCCATGGGACATACTTGTCCATGCCCCTAGTGGTAGGCCCACTGACTGTGAACCCTAATGTAGCCCCATAAGCTAGCTTCAGCCCTGCTTAATCACAATACCACAGGCAATCCCATCAATCCAGGGACTCAATAGGAGAAGGTATTTACTTGACGAACTAGTCCATAAAAACTGGAAGGCCCCTGCTCCTTCAAATGCATAGACTCCACTGCAAGGCTATATGAATTATAAAGAACCAGGCAAAAATGACATCACCAAAGGAAACTAATAAAGCTCTAGTAACTGGCCCAAAATAAATAGAGATGTATGAATTGTGTAACAAAGAATCCAAAATAATCATCTTAAAGAAGCTCAATGAACTATAACTAAACAAAATCAGGAAAGCAATAAATGAATAAAAAGAGATGTTTAATAAAGAAACAGAAACCATAAAAAGAAGCAAATAGAAATCCTGCAGCTGAAGAACACAATGAGACAACTGAAAAGCTCAAGAGACAGCTTCAACAGCAGACTCCGGCAGAAGAAAAGAAATGGCAAATGTAAAAGATAGGTCATTTGAGGCTGGGCACGATGGCTCACGCCTGTAATCCCAGCACTTTGGGAGGCTGAGGAGGGTGGATCATGAGGTCAGGAGATCGAGACCATCCTGGCCAACACGGTGAAACCCCATCTCTACTAAAAATACAAAAAATTAGCCAGAAGTGGTGGCAGGTGCCTGTAGTTCCAGCTACTTGGGAGGCTGAGGCAGGAGAATGGCATGAACCTGGGAGGCAGAGGTTGCAGTGAGCTGAGATAGTGCTACTGCACTCCAGTCTGGCTGACAGAGCAAGACTCCATCTTAAAAAAATAAAAATAAAAAAGGTCATTTGAAATGATACCATTAGAGGGACAAAAAGAAAAAAGAATAAAAAAGAATGTGGAAAGTATACGGGACTTATGGGACAACATCAAGTGAAAATAATATAGGCATATGAGAGTTAAGGAGAGGAAAAAGGGGCAGAAAGCTTATTTTTAAAAACTAAAGGCTAACAGTTGTTAGCCAAATCTAGGGAGGAAAATCGACATCTCAATTCATGAAGCCTAAAGGTCTCCAAATAAGTTAAACACCGAGACGCATTATAATTAAGTTGTTAAAAAGAAAAAATCTGAAAGCAGCAAGAGAAAATCTACTTGTCACATAACATAAAAGGAAGCTTCTATAAGATTATCAGTGAATTTCTCAGCTGAAACCTTGCAGGCCAGGAAAGTGGGAGACAATATATTCAAAGTGCTAAAAGAAAGAAAAAAAAAACCCTGCCAACCAGGAATACTTTACTCAGCAAAATTGCCCTTTAAGAATGAAGGAGAGATAAAGACTTTTCCAGAAAGCAAAAACTGGAGTTTGTCACGACTACACCAGCCTTATGAGAGCAACTAAAGGAAGTTAAAGTAGAAATTAAAAGATGCAGCTGGCCGCGGTGGCTCATGCCTGTAATCCCAGCACTCTGGAGGCCGAGGAAGGCACATCACTTGAGGCCAGGAGTTAGAGGCCAGCCTGGACAACATACTGAAACCCCATCTCTACTAAAAATATAAAAAATTAGCTGGGTGTGGTGGTGTATGCCTGTAGTCCCAGCTACTCGGGAGGCTGAGGTAGGAGAATCACTTGAACCTGGGAAGCAGAGGCTGCAGTGAGCCAAGATCGCACCAATGCACTCCAGCCTAGGTGACATAGCAAGACCCTGTCTCAAAAATAAAGTAAAATCTGAGATTAATTACATTAGGTGTGTGAATGGGCAGTAAAGTGTAGAGTTTCTATACGTCATTGAAGGTAATTTCTTCTCAGCTTAAGACAGACTACAGTAACTATAAAATGTTTGATGCAAACCCTATGAATGAAAAAGCACAGTAGATACACAAAAGATAAAAAGAAAAGAACCAAAATACCCCACTACAAAAATAAAAATCGAATCACAAAGAGAAAAAGAGAGGAATAGTAGAACCACAAAACAGACAGAAAGCAACCAACAAAATGGTAATAGTAAGTCCTTACCAATCAATCATTACTTTAACTCCCAAATCAAAAGATATAGTATGAGTGAATGGATGAGCACAAGACCCAACTATATGCTGTCTACAAAAGACTCACTTTAGATTTAAAGACACACGTAAGCTGAAAGTAAGAGGGTAGAGAAAGGAATTCCATGCAAACAGTAACCAAAAGAGAACATGAGTGGCTAAACTTTTATCAGACAAAATAGACTTTAAGTCAGAAATCATCACAAGAGGGAACAAAAGTCATTATATAATGATAAAAGGGTCAATACAACAGAAAGATATAATCATTATAAATATATATGTACCTAACATCAAAGCACCTAAATATATAAAGCAACAACAGATCTGAAGGCAGATATTGACAGTAATAAAATAATAGCAAGTAGGACGTGCATGGTGGCTCACACCTGTAATCCCAGCACTTTGGGAAGCCGAAGTGGGTGGATCACCTGAGGTCAGGAATTCGAGACCAGCCTGGCCAATGTGGTGAAACCTCATCTCTACTAAAAATGCAAAAATTAGCTGGGCATGGTGGTGGGTGCCTGTAATCCCAGCTACTTGGGAGGCTGAGGCAGGAGAATTGCTTGAATCCAGGAGGTGGAGGTTGCAGTGAGCTGAGGTGGTGCCACTATACTCCAGCCTGGGCGAGAGAGCAAGACTCCGACTCAAAATAATAATAATAATAATAATAATAATAGCAAGTAACTTCAATACATCATTCTCAGAATGGATAAATCATCCAGTCAGAAATCATTAAGCAAACAACAGAACTGAACACCACTATGGACCAAATGGACCTAATACGCATATACAAAACTTTTTGCCAAATAACAGAAGACTACAATTCTTCCCAAGTGTATACAGAATATTCTTTTGGCTATATAATCATAAAGAAGTATCAACAAACTTAAGAAGATGTAAATCATCCTAAGTATCTTTTCCCACCACAATGGAATGAAACTAAAAATCAATAACTGTAAGAAAATAGGAAAATTCACAAATATGTAGAAACTACACACCACACTTTTGAACAACTATTGTGTCAAAGAGGAAATCAAAAAGGAATTTAAAAATTATCTCTAGATAGGTCAGGAGTTCGAGACCAGCCTAAGCAACATAGCAAGACCTTGTCTCCTCTAAAAATTTTAAAAACAATTAGCTGGGTATGGTGGTACATCCTGTAGTCCCAGCTGAGGCAGGAGGATTGCTTGAGCCCAGGGGTTCAAGGTTGCAGTGAGGTATCACTGTGCCACTGCATTCAGCCTGGGTGACAGAGCAAAATATCCTATTTCAAAAAAAAAAAAAACCCTCAAGACAAATGAAAACAAAAATTACATATCAAAATGTATGGGATGCAGCAAAAACAGTACTTACAGGAAAGCTTATAGTAATAAATGCCAATTTAAAAAACAAAAAAGACCTGAATTCAACAACCTTATCTTACACTTCAAGAAACTGGAAAAAGGAGAATCAAATAAACCCAAAGTTAGCAGAAGAAAGGAAAGTTTAGGGCAGAAATGAATCAAATAGAGAATAGAAAAACAATAGAAAAAAGTCAAAACTAAGAGTTGGTTTTTGAAAAACTAAACAAAATTGACAAACCCCTAGCAAGACTAAGAAAAAAAGAGATACTCAAATAAATACAAAATGAAAGAGGAGACATTACAATAGATGCCACAGAAATAAAAGGGATCATAAGGGACTATTACGAATAACCATACACCAAAACACTGGAAAACCTAGAAGATAGAGTCCTAGAAATATACAACCTGCCAAAACTGAATCAAGAAGAAATAGAAAACCCAAACAGATGAATAGCAAATATGGAGACTGAATCTGTAATCAAACAGCTCTCAACAAAGAAAAGCACAGGACCAGATGGTTTCATGGGTGAATTCTATCAATCATTAAAAAAAGAATTAATACCAATCTTTCTTAAACCTTCCAAAAAATAGAAGAGGAGAGAATTCTTCCAAACTCACATTATGAGGCCAGGATCACTCTGATACCAAAGCCAAAGACACCAGAAGAAAGAAAAGTACAGGTATCTTTGATGAACATAGATTTTTAATCCTCAATAAAACACTAGAAAGCCAAACTCAACAACACACTAAAAGGATTATACACCATGGCTAAATGGGATTTATCCCTGGGATAAAAGAAGGCAGAGTATCACTTTGTTCAACCTCAGCTAGGAACATGCATGTGTCCTGGGTGAGTCAAATTTTTTATCTCATTATTCCCAGTAGCTACATTCTATAATGTTGCTGCAAAAACAGAATTAGCAAATAATGAAACACTACTGCTAAGGGAAATACAGGGTAAAGTTCCTGTGAGCCTCTGGTCATAACATTTTCACCCACCAATTAATACATAACCTTGTTTCAGATGTGTTTCTGTCTAATAATACTTCAGGTCATTTACACTGTTGATTCATTAACATCGAACTCATGGCCAAAACCACCTCATGCCTAAACAAAGCTTATATCTAACACTCGCATATTTTCCCTGTAAGACACACCACAGCCTTCTTGTGCTTAGGAACCCGAGACAGCAGCACTTCAGCACTACACTTGGTGACGATTCTAAACAGTGAAATCACTCATGAAAAGCACAAAACATAAAACATGTTTCACTAAATAAAACCCAAAAGAATGCCTGTTTACAGTATGAGGGCTGCAAAAAGAAGGCAGGGCATCGTTTTGCTCAATCTCAGCTAGGAACATGTGAGTGAGGTGGCTCAAATTTTTTGTTGCACTGCACACTGCATTCCCATGAATGATTATGACACCTCTGTAAGTACTGATTTGGGTGTTACAAATACATCTTAGTAAGTGGGGGAATTCACAAATATGAAATCCATAAGTAATGAGAATCAAGTATACATCCACAGGATTAAGTTTTAGAAGTAGAATTTCTAGATCAAAGGCCATGTACAAATGCCTTTGAGAGATATTGCCAAGTTGATGTCCACAGAAATTGTACCAATTTCTATTCTGACAACAATGAATACGTATTATGCTCTTTATTTTAAGCAATGTAAAAAGAAATAAAAGTTAATTGATTTCATCACATTAGTCATTGGAAAAGTTGGCATGGAGGAATGAAAAATGGTTATTGGCTGGGTGGGACTCATCCCTGTAATCCCAGCACTTTGGGAGGCCAACCAGGGAGGGGTGCTTGAGTCTATGACTTTGAGATCAGCCTGGGGAAAATAGCAAGACTCTGTCTCTACAGAAAATTTAAAAAGCAGCTGGGCATGGTGGCATACGCCTACAGTGCCAGCTACCCAGGAGGCTGAGCCAAGAGGACTGCTCGAGCCCAGAAGGTTGAGGCTATAGTGAGCTGTGATGGCGCCACTGCACTCCAGCCCGGGTAACAGAGAGAGACCCTGTCTCAAAAAAAATAAAAATAAAAAATAAAAAAAGAAGAAGAAAGAAAAAAAAAGACTGTTTACTATCCATCTGACAAGGGATTAATAACCAGAATATGTAAGAAGCTCAAACAATTCAATACGAAAAATCCAATAATCCAGTTTAAAAATGAGCAAAATATCTGAATAGACATTTCTTAAAAGGAGACATAAAATGGCAAACAGGTATATGAAAAGGTATTCAATATCACTGATCATCAGAGAAATGCAATCAAAACTATGATATCATCTCACCCAGTTAAAATGGCTTTTATCCAAAAGACAGGCAATGACAAGTGCTGGTGAGGACATAGAGAAAAGGGAACCCTCATACCCTATTGGTGGGAATGTTTAGTACACTACTATGGAGAACAGTTTAGAGGTTCCTCAAAAAACTAAAAATTGAACTACCATATAATTCAGCAATCCCACTACTATGTATATATATAAAAGAAAGGAAATCAGTATATTGAAGAGACATCTGCACTTCCATGTTTATTGCAGCACTGTTCACGATAGCCAAGATTTGGAAGCAACCTAAGTGTCTATTAACAGATGAAAGGACAAAGAAAATGTGGTACATATACACAATGGAATATTATTCAGCCATAAAAAAGAATGAGATCCTGTCATTTGCAACAACATGAATGGAACTAGAGGTCATTATGTTAAATGAAATAAGCCAGGCACAGGAAGACAAACTTCATATGTTCTCACTTACTTGTAGGAGCTAAAAATTAAAACAATTGAACTAATGGAGATTACAGTAGAATGATGGTTACCAGAGGCTGGGAAGGGTAGTGAGAGGGGAAATGGGATAGTTAATGGGTACAAAAAACCAGAAAGAATGAATAAGACCTAGTATTTGCTACTGTGAGATTTAAACAACAGGGTCACTATAGTGAATAATAATTTAATTGTACATTTAAAAATAACTAGAAGAGGCTGGCCACAGTGGCTCACACCAGGACTTTGGGAGGCTGAGGTGGGTGGATCACTTGAGGTTAGGAGTTCCAAACCAGCCTGGCCAACATGGGTGAAACGCCATCTCTAAAAAACACAAAAATTAGCCAGGCATGGTGGTGGGTGCCTACGATCCCAGTACTCAGGAGGCTAAGGCAGGAGAATTGCTTGAACCTGGGAAGTAGAGAATGCAGTGAGCTGAGATCACGCCACTGCACTCCAGCCTGTGCGACAGAGCAAGACTCCGTCAAAAACAAAGTGAAAAAAAAATAACATAAAATAAAATAAAAGAGTATAATTGGATTGTTTGTAACACAAAGGATAAATGCTTGAGGTGATGGATACCTCATTTACTTTGATGTGATTATTACATGTTGTATGACTGTATCAAAATATCTCATATAACCCATAAATATATATACCTACTATGTACTCACAAAAATTTTTTAAAAATTTTTTTAAAGAAAAAAGGTTTAGAAGAATGCTAAAAGTAATGGTGAAATCAAAGTTTCATGTGTGTGTGCATGCATGTATTTTAATGAACACATTATCTTAGCCAAGTAACAGAGATTTTTAGGAAAATAAATATATTATTTGCCACAATAAAATACTGGGATTAAAAATAATTTAGATTTCCAACTTCTCTATGTCTTTCTTTTTTTTTTTTTTTTGAGACAGAGTCTTGCTCTGTTGCACAGGCTGGAGTATAGTGGCACAATCTTGGCTCACTGCAACCTACACCTCCCAGGTTCAAGTGATTCTCTTGCCTCAGTCTCCCAATTAGCTGGGATTACAGGAGTGTTGCCACCATATCTGGCTAATTTTTGTATTTTTAGTAGAGATGGGTTTTGCCATGTTGGCCAGGCTGGTCTTGAACTCCCGGCCTCAAGTGATCCGCCCATCTAGGCACCCCAAAGAGCTGGGATTATAGGCGTGAGCCACCAAGCCCTGCCTGTCTTCCTATTTTTGAGTGTCTAATCATAATGAAAGCTCCTGTGAAATTTAAAACAACCACCAACTTCCAGGAAATGTACTGGGCTTAGTTCACAATGTCCTGTTCTTTTTATATCTTAGTCTACACTAGTGGTTACAAAAGTTGGAGAGCTTTTGAAAACACAATAGGATTCCTCTCAGACCTAGTATCAGAATCTCTGGGGAAAGAGCCAAGAAAGCTTTGATTTTTTTAAAAAAAGTGTATAGATAATGTTTAGGAACAAATAGTCTAGATCACTTAGAGTCAGACGAAAATATCGGAGCACTGCAGGATGTCCAATCATGTTTCATGTATTACACTTCTTAGGGCATAATATCTAAGAAAATATAAAAAGCCAAACAAATAAGTTTCTTGCCTCCTATTAATCGAAAAATTAAACACAAGTGCTTATACTACACAGATCTGAAATATAAAATGCTGAAAAATAATCTGATAAAATGAATTACAGTTTCCTTTCATAATTTTCTATCTCAAGGACTAGCTTACCTGTAGAAATAAGAGCACCCTCGGACAGTGTTGTGGGTATAGTGCTCCAAGGTCTTCTCATTGCCATAATCCTCTGAGGGATCAGACCAAAGCAGGTCACACACAGGTCCAAAGGCGGGAGGTTCTGTAAACCTGTCTAACTAGAAGACACACAAAAGCCAAAAGAAAAAAATCAGGAGAGCAAAAGGGCTCTTGGAAGTTGGTATGCATCAAAGAAAAACCCCTTCCACCCACAAGAATGTATTAGGAGAGAAGCCAGTGTGCCCCTAAAGGATTTTCCTGCAAGAAAAGGAACATTTAACAATTTTAGATACAGTAACTTTTATTATTTTTCTGCAATAATTTTTTTTTTCTTTTCTTTTCTTTTTTTTTTTGAGACGGAGTTTCGCTCTTGTTGCCCAGGCTGGAGTACAATGGCATGATCTCGGCTCACCGCAAACTTCGCTTCCCAGCTTCAAGTGATTCTCCTGTCTCACCCTCCCTAGTAGCTGGGATTATAGGTATGTGCCACCACACCCGGCTAATTTTGTATTTTCAGTAGAGACAGGGTTTCTCCATGTTGGTCAGGCTTGTCTCGAACTCCTGACCACAGGTGATCTGCCCTCCTCGGCCTCCCAAAGTGCTGGGATTACAGGCTTGAGCCACTGCGCCCGGCCTGCAATAAATTTTTATAAACATCCCTGTCATTTAACCATACTGTAGTAAAGGACCCTCTTACATCCTAATCGTAAAGGAGTACTAATTTAATTCAAATGTGAAATCAACCACTATAGAGATATACAATTTTAGAAAGACTATGACTATATAAAATTAATTTTAATTGTCTAGGTGAGCCAATGTTACCATGAGAGCAGAAATGTTTTACAATGGTTCTGTTCATTGCAAACCTCATTCCAGTGGAGATTTCTTTATTTTAAAGAATGCTAATTTTGTAAGGGCATTTATCCTTTCCATTCTATGCAGTTGAGGTATTTCAATATGAGTTATTAACTTAAGCCTTTAGTCATTGCTGCTTTAGTTAAAAGCATAAAAACCAAGAGAAAGTAAGTAATAGAATAGCTGAATGCCAAGAAGATAAATTTCTACTGAGTGAAAGAGCTTTTTATTGATATGATTGATTCAGAATTATAAAATTCATATTTTACTATGTAAGAGAGAAATGCTGGTTATTTAAAAGACAGTGAGGCAAGAGAAAAGCCAGTACATATACACCCTCTTACCCTAAGGAGACTTTCATTCAGAGAAAATAGTTTTATAAACAGAAAAATCTTTAGTCTCAGTACCTATAAGAGGATGAGTATCCATTACTTTGATTAAAAAAGAGAGAGAGAGAGGGACACGTAGAAGAATTCAAAGGCAGAGAAGATAAGATGACTATGTACAATAAAAATTTGTCATCTTTTTCCATAATGAAGATACAGAATCTTGGAAATAATAATCACCAAGGAAGGCAAGTAAAACAATGACACCGTATCATCTAAAATGTCAAAGCCAATGCATTTCGGAGATGGCAGTGTCCTCAGACCATTCTTTCCAACTTCCTCATTTCATAGAGAAGAAATGTGACAAAGAGGTTCAATAATTTGGTCAAGGTTACACAATTAATGGCAGGACTGTGATTAGAACCCTGGTTTGCTTCCTTTTGCACTGTGATATAATTTAAGTTTCAGGACTATAAGAATGTTAGCTTTCTAGTTGGTAAAAACATAGACCTCTCTAAAAATTATAATTTGTGGTAGATACATATCAAAATGTTAACGGTAGTTATGGTGATGAAATCAGAGGTATCTTCCATTTTCTTACTTTTGATTATCTATATTTTAAAGATTTCAGCTAAAGATATATTGGTTGACTGCAATAAGAAACAAATTTTAGGCTGGGCCCAGTGTCTCACACCTGTAATCCCAGCACTTTGGGAGGCCAAAGTGGGCAGATAGATCACTTGAGGTCAGGAGTTCAAGACCAGCCTGGCCAACATGGTGAAACCCCGCCTCTACTAAAAATACAGAAATTAGCGTACTAAAAATACAAAAACTGGCCAGGTGTGCTGGTGCGCACCTGTATCCAGCTACTTGGGAGGCTGAACAAGGGAGGCGGAGGTTGCAGTGAGCTGAGATAGCACCACTGTACTTCGTCCTGGGTGAAAGAGAGAGACTCTGCCTTAAAGCAAACAACAACAACAACAACAACAACAAAACCCAACACATTTTAAAAATATACTCTATGAGAATAATAAAAGATAACTTACTTTCCTAATGTCATCTAAAGAAGTAATTTCAGGTGACATTCCTCCATGTACACAGAGAAACTGCTGGTTTAAGAGGGCAGCAAGAGGAAGACAGTCAAATGTCTCCATACAGGCATCATACACCTGTTCCGAATATTTGATTCGACCTAACAAAAAAGGAAAACCAGTCAATGGAAGAAAAACTAAAATGTATCACATTTGAAAAAGGATATAGGCCAGGAGAATATGAAGCTATTTTAAAGCCATTTATTTTAGATAATTTGAGACCACAATTATCTTTGTAAAGATACTTTTGAAAAGTTGTGGATAATACGTTAACAATACCTTTCTCCTCTTAAAGACAAGTGTGACCTTGGATTAACTTTCTAGCTCTGTTGCTTGGAAATGTGATAAGGTGACTGTCCACTGTGTTATTAGGCAACATGGCTTGTGGTAAAAATTACCCAGTTACCTGGTGGGAAGCTATAGCTTTGGGCTCCTCTGAAGGTAGTTTTACAACACACATTGACACTTGATGCACGAGGCTTCTATACCAGGATGGCTCCCTAATCTTCCCAGTATGGATACTGTTTCCTTGTACCTGAGCTGGTGAGATGGGAGGGGGCAAGAGAGATGGAAAGCTGCTGGACTGTGGTATGCACTGCTGTGAGGACCACTCCACTGAAAAGGAACGCCCAGTGCTGCCCTTCCTGACCTATACCCTTCTAAGTATATGGATGATAAGTAAGGTCCATGGTAGTCTTGTGAGTCTGAGTATTTTATGGGTCTTGAAGATCCCTTAGGGGTGTTGAAGATATCTAAGTGGAAACTGGAGTCTCAGGAGATATCAATAAAATGTCAGTAATGTTTTGGCTCATGATTTTTAAGGTCTGTAAACAAATTATGTCTTGATTCTATTTTCTCTAAAAACATTTGGCTTAAGCTGATGTGGTGGCTCATGCCTGCAGTCCCAGTGTTTTGGAAGGCTGAGGTAGGGGGATCACTTGAGGCCAGGAGTTTGAGACCAGCCTGGGCAACACAATGAGGCTTAATTTTTTGTTTTTTTGTTTTTTTTGAGACGGAGTCTCGCTCTGTCATCCAGGCTGGAGTGCAGTAGCAGGATCTTAGCTCACTGCACCTCTGCCTCCCGGGTTCTTGCGATTCTTCTGCTTCAGCCTCCCAAGCACCTAGGACTACAGTTGCATGCCACCACGCCTGGCTAATTTTTGTATTTTTAGTAGAGACGGGGTTTCACCATGTTGGCCAGGTTGGTCTCAAACTCCTGACCTTGTGATCCACCTGCCTTGGCCTCCCAAACTGCTGGGATTACAGGCATGAACCATCGCGCCCGGTCAAGGCCTCGTTTTTACAGAAAATTAAAAAACAAAATTAGCTGGCTGTGGTGGCACACGCCTGCTGTCCAAGCTACCTGGGAGGCTGAGGTGGGAGGACAGATTGAGCCCAGGAGTTTGAGGCTGCAGTGAGCTACGCTAGTGCCACTGCACTCCAGCCTGGGCAACAGAGTGAGACTCTGCCTCTAAACAATAAAAAATAAATGTTTGGTTTAATAAATTATATTTTGATGTGGTTGTCAACTTGGGGCTACAGAATAAGGAAATACATCAGCAGGTGGAAGGAGGAGTCTCTACAAATCTCTAGAAAGGAAAAGTCATGAAATAATAGGTGGGAAACTGAAAAATGGGCATTTAAAGAGAAAAAGGAACATCTTCTTCTTCCTTGGCCTTGGTTTCAAAAAGTCAAGCTGTGTTCAGGAATGTGTGTGGGCAGAGAAGACCGGAAGTACAGTCAGGCAGCTCTGCAGAACTGTGAGCTCCTTCTCCTCTTCTAGGATTCTGGGACGATGAGGTGGCCTACAGGACCAAGCTGTATCGAGTGAGTCAGACTATCTAGTTGGTAATTATTTCTGTGTTTATTTCCTTTTTGTGATCTCTAAGCCTTTAGAAAGACATGTTTAAGGATCAGAGCCTGGTCCTGGCAAGGCTTTGAGGAATAAAGTGAAGAATGATGGATTCAGGTTTGGGCCAGACTGAAGTACTGTATGGGTGACAGGAATGATTAGACAGAGATCCCTAAGGAAGGTGTAAACCAGTAGACCACACTGGAGGTTGTAAGGCCTTCCATCCCTGAGTGTGAAGATTTCTCTTTAATGCCAATACTGGGTGATGAGGGTTTGAGTTCATTAAGGGAGCCTGTGGGTTTCTTTGAGGTTTTCAGAACATTTTGTATTGCTGTTATAGCAGTCAGCATCATCTACTCCACAACATATGCTAACTTTATTAGGAGCTCAAAGTTAACAACAGCCATGTCTTATGCATCGTTGCCTCTGCTTACAGTTACATCCTTATACTCTGCTTTATCTTAAATACTATAAATTTTGCCCATTTCAAAGTAGATCCAGCATTGGCCATAAAGTCTGTTGGAAGTAAAAAACAAACAAAAAACTCTTTAATTTATGGTCAGTGATTGACTTTTTCTCCTGAAAATCCTAGGAACCAGAGTTCCCTCTGTTGCCAGTGTCAGTAAGGAATTCCTCCATGGGAGTTCTACACTTGAATATAGGTAGGAATTTCAATTACTTATTAATTTATGCTCCATAACATCTTACATTGATAAACGCCTTTTAATCCCAAGAATGACTCAAAATAATTCCTTAGCCCACTTCCAAAAAAGAATGCCAAGTCAAGATGGCAAGTAATGAAGTATATTGTTATTTTGTAAATTAAATCAGGAGGTCAAAAATTAAATTAAGCAAAAAGAAGTTCATGTTATATTAATATGTGAATAAAATAGGCTACGAAATGTTACCATCTTTATTTCTTCAAAGTATATGAATTGCATATATAATCACCAATATTTAATTTTCTGAGGGATTAGATTGACAATGGTATCTATAGTTTTCTTAGTTTAGCTGTTCTTTTTTATGACGAATATGTAATCTTTATACAGTAACATTATTATACTGCCTTTAAAAAAATTTTTTTTACAGACAGGATCTTATTGTTTTCTAGGCTGGAGAGCAGTAGTGCAATCGTAGCTCACTGTAACCTCAAACCTGTAGGTTCAAGCAGTCCTCCTGCCTAATCTTCTAAGTAGCTGGGACTACAGGTGCACACCACCACACCTAACTAATTTTTAAAAATTATTTGTAGAGACAGGATCTCAATATGCTGCCCAGGTTGGTCTTCAATTCCTGGCCTCAAGCAATCCTCCTGCCTCAGCCTCCCAAAACGCTGGGATTACAGGCATGAGGTACTGCACCTGTACCTGGCCTATATTACTTTTATTATTTAAATGTGTTGAAGGCTTATGACGTGTCTGTCAGTGAGTTAAGCATGTGGCATGACATGGTGGTAAAGAGAATGCAGTCTGGAACTTGTTGCCTGCTTTGAAGAAACTCAGCACCCTCCACTTACTAGCTATGGGACCTTGGATAAAAATTTTAACTCTCTGCCTTGGTTTCCTTATCTATGGTCATAATAATAATAATAATACCCTGAATTGTAGATTCAGGGTTGCTGTGAGGATTAAATCAATTCATTTATGTAAAATATGCAGAATAATGCTGGCACTTAGTACATACTATGTAAGTGTTAACTGATAAAGTACTTAATACTCACAGAAACCCTATGAAGTAGATATTGTTACTGTCTTCATTCAAAAACTGAGGAAATTAGGCTTACTTGCCCAAAGCTGCAAAGCTAGTGACTGGCAGAACTGGGACTTAAACCTGTTCATGCTCTTAATGACCCTCTAATATTCCTCCTAATCATTATTTTTAAATAAGATTTTGAATAGGAGAATCTAAATAGCCAAATACATAATTCCCAGAGGTTAAATTAGCTGATTTAAGTGCTTTATTTTCAAGACAAATTTTTAGGATATATCCCAAAAAACAGTTATTTCTATAGCAAAGGGAAAATGCACTACAGCCATAGGATGACACGGATATAAGTTCTAACTAGTATCAATAATACAATATTAACAAAACAAAATTTTCAACAAAACTCTTTGAAAGCAATTTTGAGAGTCAGCACTACTTGCAAGAAATCACAATCTGGTCTAGTCACTGATGACATATTTGTTTCAATTTTTATTTGCTTTATTTATTATTATTATTATTGTTTGAGACAGGGTCTCATTCTGTCACCCAGACTGGAGTGCAGTGGCATTATCATAGCTTACTGCGGCCTAGAACTCCTGGCCTCAAGAGATCCTCCCACCTCAGTCTCCCAAATGCTGGGATTACAGACGTGAGACATAGCTCAAATTTTAAAAGCCACAAAAGGGTATAATGTACCTCCTGCCCTCTCTCTGCAAGTAACCAATATTAGCAGTTTCCTGGGTGTCTTTACAAAGATATTCTATGCATACACATGCAGATATGTATGTTTCTTCTCTTTCCAAAACATCCTTTTGGTTTTTACACACATGATAGCACATATGTACTGTTCTTTACTTGCTTTTTGCACTTAAGAACACATTTTGGCTATCATGCCACATCTTCAGAGGAAGAGTGGAATTAAGAGTATGCCACCCCAAAATACGCCACTCCGGCACACTGACAACTTTGAGTTAAAGGCACTTGAAAAACCACAGTTGCAAGAAGATCACTCTGGCCTTCGTGCTGTTTCTTCTTTTTTTTTTGGAAACGGGGTCTTGTTACATGCCCAGAATGGTCTCAAACTCCTGGCCTCAAGTGATCCTCCCAGTTCAGCTTCCCAAATAGCTGGGATTACAGGCACATGCCACAGTGCCCAGCTCATGGTGCTTTTTAAAAGCAGGAGATGAAATTCTCATTTGAAAGATGCCCTCCCAGAGAAACAGACACTGAGACCTACTTGAAAATGGAGGGTAGGAGGAGGGAGAGGATCAGGAAAAATAACTACTGGGTACTAGGCTTAGTGCCTGGGTGACAAAATAATCTATATAGCAAACCCCTATGACACAAGTTTGCCTATATAACAAACCTGCACATGTACCCCTGAACTTAAAATAAAAGTTAAAAAAACAAAAAGAAAAGAAAGATGCCCTCCGTGTACAAGAAGGAAAATAACATTGTTATCACTAAGGATTAATAGTTGAGGCTGAATTCAAACAACTCTTATCTTCTAGCCTCCTCACATCATTTAGTTCCTTTTTCACAACT